AAATGTTTTCTCTAGGATGATTCAAAACACGTCAGTAAACTCACCAAAAAAAGAACTGATCTTCACACGTGTTCCAAATTAACATTTATTACACTTAGCATGCTTGTGTCCTGAATGAGTCATAGAATCGTAGAATCCCTACAGTGCAGAAAGGCCATTCGGCCCATTGAGTCTGCACCAACCCTCCAAAGAACATCCCACCCAGACCCAGTTCCCACTTTATCCCCATAATTATCATGGCTAATCCACCTAACCGACACATTTCCGGGCACGATAGATAATTTAGCATGGCCAATCCACTTAATCTTCATGTCTTTGGACTTCCCTCAATAGATTTTTCTTGGTTAAACACTTTTTTGCAGAAGAAAATGGGCAACAGACCTGACGCAGAGCATTGTTTGAAATAGTTAATACCTGGCGTTTGTTGTATACAGAACCTTGATTGCAGTATTTACAGTATTTTTGTTAACTTTTTATTTCAGTGGGAATGAAGAGACTTCATGACAACCTTGCAGCTTTTTTTAAAACATAAAAAGGGAAGGGAAATTCGCCTCTCTGGGTCAGTATTGCTTTGACTCTGGTGATTGTAAATGTCGATGTATTAAATCAGCTCAACGTCATCTCAGTGAACGGGAAGAGAGGCCTTGTAAATACCAGTGCACGGGGGATCTTGACGATGGCACTAATGTGCTAAATATTCATGTCAGAGTTTACCAATGCTAACATAACCACATTGACAGTAGCCTTTGTCAGATATTCCTTTTTGCCCTTTGTTTTGTTCCTATGGTGATTGCACCACCTTCTGTTTCATGTGTCTGACATTTCACTGGAACAGTACAAACAAGGACAGTTGTGAAGACACTATTTCAATAGTTTGCACATCTTGCTGTGTAAGTCTTGCTTTTGCTAGTTGTCATGGGAAATGCTGTGTTGTTTTTTAACCCTTTAGTTCCCCTATTTCCACTTCTCCACCAAATCCCCAAGTATTTACCCTTCTTCCCATCTTCTGATAGTGCAGACTTTTGGCAGGTTACAGGCCATCAAGTGTTGGAATGCTTCTAATGTGAGTCGAGATGACAACCTATAACATGCGACCTAACCAAATGCAATCTTTGCACTTTTCAGCATGCAAGGCAATGGTTAAGAGCAGGAGAAGCACAGCATGTCTGGCAGCATCTGTTCAGAGAAAATGGAATTAACATTTTGAGCCCAGTGAGCCTTTGTCAGAATTAACAAAGCTGGTTGAATTTTTCACGGAGGTGACCAAATATGTAGATGAGGATAGTGCAGTTGGTACATTTTATCTGGATTTCAGCAATGCCTTTAAGAAAGCCCAACATGAGAGACTGATAAAGAAGGTAAAAGCACATGGGATCGAGGGTAACTTGGCATGTTGGATCCAAAATTGATTTAGTGGCAGGAGACGGAAGGTGAGGGGAGAAGGCTGTTTGTATGCTTGGAGGCCAGTATCCAGCAGTGTACCACAGGGATTGGTACTGGGACCCTTATTGTTTGTGATATATATAAATGATACATAGATGAGAATGTGGGAGGGATGAGTCAAAGATTAGCCAGGTAGTTGACAGTGAGGAAGAATGTCTTGGGATTACAGGAGAATATAAATGGATTGATGAAGTGGGTAGATCATTGGCAGATGAAATTTAACCCTGATGAGTTTGAGGTGATACACTTTGGAAGAAGTAACAAGACAAGGGAGTACTCGATAAATAGCAGGACACGAGGAAGCTCAGAGAAACTGAGGGATCTTAGGGTGCTTGTCCACAAGTCACTGAAGGTGGTGGGCAGATTAATAGGGTAGTTAAGGTATGTGGCACACTCGCCTTTATCAGTCAAGGCATAGATAATAAGAGCAGGGACGTTACTTTGTAGTTGCACAGAACTTTGGTTAGACCACAACTGGAGTACTGCATGTAGTTCTGATCATCACAATGTGAGGTAATTGTGGTATTGTCACTGGACTGTTAAACAAGAAACCCAGGAAATGTTCTGAGGGCCAGGGTTTGAATCCTGCCACAACCAGTGGTGGAATTTGAATTCAGTAAAAATCTGGAAATAAAAGTCTAATGATGACCACAAATCCATTGTTGATTGGTGCGAACATTATCTGGTTCACTAATGCTTTAGTGGAGCTAAATGTGGTTCCCCTTGTGGGAGGAATCTGCTATCCATACCTGGTCTTGCCTGTGTGTGACTCCAGACCTACAGCAATGTGGTTGCGTCTTAACTACTCTTTGGGCAATGAGGGATGGGCAATAATGGTGGTGCGGTGGTTCAGTGGTTAGCACTGCTGCCTCACAGCACCAGGGAACCAGGTTTGATTCCACTCTGTGACTATCTGTATGGAGTGGAGTTTATACATTCTCCCCATGTCTGCGGGGCTTCCTCTAGGTGCTCCGGTTTCTTCCCACAGTCCAAAGATGTGCAGTTTAGGTTGATTATCCTTGGGAAATACAGAGTAACAGGGATACGCTGGGAGGGTGGGTCTGGTTGGGATGCTGTTTGGAGGGTCGATGTGGACTCAATGGGCTAAATGGCCTGCTTCCATGCGGTAGGGACTCTATGATTCTATGAATGAATGCTGGTCTAGCTAGTGATGTCCTCATCCTAAGAATGAATTTTAAAATATTCTGTAGGATGTGCTTGCCCTGGAGGGGGTGCAGAGAACATTCACCAGAGTGTTGTCTGGGACTTAGCTGTGAAAAGAGGTTGGATAAGCTCAGTCAGAGATGGTAAGAACTGCTGATGCTGGAGTCCGAGATAACACAGTGTGGAGCTGGAGGAATATAGCAGGCCAGGCAGCATCGGAGGAGCAGGAAAGCTGACGTTTCGTGTTGGGACCCAATGCGTCAGCTTTCCTGCTCCTCCAGCTCCACACTGTTATTTCTGGATAAGTTCAGGTTGTTTTCTTTGGACCAGAGAAGCTTGATGAGGGGACCTAATAGAGACGTATAAAATTTATGACAAGCATAGGAAGGGCAGATATAAAATTCAAGGGTCAGTAACAAGGAGGGTATAATTTCAAGGAGAAAGACAGGAGGTTTAGAGGGGACTTGTGGAAAACCATCACATCCAGAAGGTAGTCAGGGTCTGGAACACATTGCCTGGGAGGTTAGTTGAGGTGGGTAATCTCGCAATCTTTAAAAAAGCACTTGGATGAGCACTTGAAGTGTTATAACATTCAAGGCTATGGGACTGGTGTGGCAGTGATGTTACAGACTCAACGAGCTGAAGGGCCTCTTTTGTAGGATTCTATGAACTGAAAGAGCAGGAACCCCGGTTTGCAAACATTCTCCCTGGAACATAACCAGTGTAATCACGAATGTGCATTAGCTTTAAAACTTTAGTCAGTGGCGGCATTGTCACCTCTGTGTCAGAGGTTTGTGGATTCAAGTTGTACTCTGGAGACTTGAGCAAAAAAAAATCAAGACTGACACTTCAGTGCTGAGGGACAGCTGCACTGTTGGGTGTTGTCATCTTGGGTACAGGTATAATATCCCATGGCAGTGTTTCAAAGAGAGCTTTCATAGAATCATAGAATCCCTACAGTGTGGAAACAGGCTGTTCAGCCCAACAAGTCCACACCGACCTACAGAGCATCCCACCCAGACCCATTTCCCTATAAACCCACCTAACCTACACATCCCTGAACACTGGGCAATTTAGCGTGGCCAATTCACCTAACCTGCATATCTTTGGACTGTGGGAGGAAACCGGAGCACCGGGAGGAAACCCACGCAGACACGGAGAATGTGCAAATTCCACACAGACAGTCGCCCGAGGGTGCAATCGAACCCGGGTCCCTGGTATTATGAGGCAGCAGTGCTAACCACTGAGCCACCATGTTTTCTGTCTGTCTTTTTGACCCAACACTTTTCACCCTCAACCAACACCATTTAAATATTTTCAAAGCCTTTGGGTGTTTGCCATCTCCAGTTTTAGGGCTTTATCTTCACTTATGTTAAAGTTGCCATTGGATGCCAGTCTATTCTTTCTCCTGGTTGAAAGCACAATCATTTAAAGGTTTCTTATATCCTTACGCCCCCTTCCCGTTTGCTCTTTCTAAGTGTCCGGCACCGAGGCAGAGCAGAACTGACAGTTGTTGGCATTAGTGTTTTTGATACCACAAATCTTTTTCTCTTTGAACACAAGGATAGCGAACTAAAGCTATTACAGAGATAACAGCAACAAAACCTTTCATTTTTAAGGTGTCTATGAATGTAGAGATCACCATTGGGTAATTTGCAGATTAACATTAAAATGGAATGACTGATAAGTGTCTGTGACCAGCTCCACAGGAACAAAGATTCTTGATTTAGACAAGATTTTAAATTCTAATTCAGTCCCTACTTTTTTGTGGATGGGGGAGGGGACAGGAAACATAACTACATGGCAAACCTTGCTCCTGTAGGGTGGAGCATTTAATCCTTGAAGATAGAATAGTAATCTGGAACTGAGCAGGAAAGAATGTTTCTTAAATTCCGTAAAGAATTCAAATTTGTCCATTCTAAATTCAGTCAAATCAAAAACTACCTCCCCAGTGAAGTCCCACTTGCTGGAATGTTGAAGTGCAACTGAAAGAAGCAAAGATACCTTTAACCTTTCATCAGTGAATGAAGAATATTCACAAAGCAGTTGATCTTTAAGTTTCTGATGTCCACATGCCTGCTATACTTCTATTCCAGATTTGAAATATTTATAGGTAGACAAACAGGAGGCCGGAAGAACACAGCAAGCCAGGCAGCATCAGGAGGAAAGGAGCAGTCAACATTTCGGGTATTACCCTTCTTCAGGAAACCCTTCTGTTTGTCTACCTTGGATTCCTGCATCTGCAGTTTTTTTTTGTCTCTAAATTGAAATATTTATAGTTTTCCCTTTCAAACCTAGGTTTTAGGGGCTGTTGTGTTGACAAGTAGCCTGTTAAGAAAGGATAAACTTAGCAAATCATAGCAAGCATTTATGCATCTGCTGTTTTGTTGCAGGCAGAGATTCTAACAGGCATTGGAGTGTGCAACGTTGAGGATGCTGGAAGGGCAGGCTCCATGCTGCTGGAGAAGGGCTGCGGTTCGGTGATCATCACTTTGGGAGCTGCGGGCAGTGTGCTAATGTCACAGGACAAGCAGACTCCTCGTTATATTCCCGCAAAAAAAGTAAAGGCAGTGGATACTACGGTATGCTTTGAGATTTAACAGTTCTGCTTCAGGGTATAATTGAAAGAACAAAGTGCTAAATGATTGTACAAACCTCTGGACAGAGGACTGACACTATTTTGTGGTTAAACATGATATCATTCTTGCATTCCTTGATAAAACACAGTTCAAAGACTTCAATGTTTTATTTCATCAAGAAGTTAGATGAAATTTCAAACTATAGAAACACATCTGAGAATAGTACATAGCTGAGCGGATTGCCTGAAGCTTAGAAACAATCTTAAAGGCAGTTTTACAACCTTTGCATGTTTTAAGTCACTCAATTTTCATTGTCTCAGTTGATTGTTTCTGTCAGGCTGATGAAGTCTACCTTCCCTATCTATAACTACCACTCTTCCTGCTCCACATCTACAAATTATTTTGAAGAAATATTTCCCTTTTTGGAGATTTAACACTGCCCAGTTTTGAGGAGGGAATTGATTTTCGCTGATATGAAACTAGTGACTATTTTGTCCTGATGTGTTGCAACTGATTCAAAAGTACATAATGGCGGTACTGGTATGGCGCACTGACCTTTTACATAGCTAAGGCCCAACACCACCTCCTTTCACCTCCTTGATCATGACCCCATCACTGACCAAACCATCATCCCTCAAACCATTCATAACCTCACCACCTCAGGTGACCTCCCACCCACAGCCTTCAACCTCATTGTTCTCCAACTCTGCACCGCCCCGTTTCTATCTCCTTCCCAAAATCCACAAACCCGACTGCCCCGGCCGACCTATTGTCTCTGCCTGCTGCAGCCCCACTGAACTCATCTCCGCTTACCTCGACTCTGTTTTTTCCCTCCTGGTCCAGGATTTCTCACCTACGTCTGGGACACCACCCACTCCCTCCACCTCCTCCAAGACTTCCAATTCCCTGGCCCCCAACACCTCATCTTCACTGTGGTCATCCAATCCCTGTACACTTGTATCCCCCACACAGATGACCTAAAAACCCTCCGCTTCTTCCTCTCCTGCAGGCCCAACCAGTCCCCCTCCACCGACACTCTCATCCGTTTAACTGAACTCGTCCTTACCCTTAACAATTTCTCCTTTAACTGCTCCCACTTCCTACAGATTAAGGGCACCTGCATGGGCCCAAGCTATGCCTGCCTCTTCGTAGGAAACCTGGAACAGTCCCTTTTCTGCTGTTACACTGGCACTATCCCCCACCTCTTCCTTCGCTACATTGATGACTGTGTCGGCGCTGCCTCGTCCTCCCATGAGGAGCTTGAACAGTTCACCAACTTTACTAACACCTTTCACCCCAACCTTAAATTTACCTGAACCATCTCCAGCACCACCTCCTTCCTGGACCTCTCCATCTCCATCTCTGGTGACTGCCTTGAAATTGACATCACAGCTACCTGGACTCTACCTCCTCTCACCCACCCTCCTGCAAGAATGCGATCCCCTACTCCCAATTCCTCCACTTCTGCTGCGTCTGCTGCCAAGATGGGATGTTCCACTCCCACACATCCCAGATGTCCTCCTATTTCAAGGACCGTAATTTGCCCCCGCCAAATTGAAAATGCCCTCCACCACATCGCTTGCATTTCCTGCAGTTCTGCCCTCGCATCCCCTCCCCCCAACAAAACTAAAGACAGATTCCCCCTTGTCCTCACATATCATCCCACCGACCTCCGTATCCAATGTATCATTTTCCGCCACCTACAATCCAACCCCATGACCAAAGAGATATTTCCCTCCACACTCCTATCTGCTTGTCGTAAGGGGCGCGGTCTCCGTGACTCCCTCATCCGCTCCACACTCCCCACTAACCCTTCCACCCTCAGCACCCTTCCCTGCAACCGCAGGAAGTGCTACACCTGCCCCTCGCCTCCATTCAAGGCACAAAAAAAATCTTCCATATCAAACAGGGGTTCACCTGCACATCCATCTATTTGGTCTACTGTATCCGCTGCTCCCAATGTGGCCTCCTCTATATCGGTGAGACCAAGCATACACTCACAGACCATTTTGTAGAATATTTGTGCTGTGTGCGTGACAAACGACAACACCTTCCAGTCGCCAACCATTTTAACTTCCCCTCCCACTGTCTGGGTGACATGTTCATCCTGGGCCTCGTCCAGTGTCACAATGACACCACCCGGAAACTGGAGGAGTAACACCTCATATTCCGCATCGGGAGCCTAAAGCTCGATGGCCTAAAAATGGAATTCATCAGTTTTAAAATATCCCCAACCCCAGCCTCATCCCATGTCCAAGCCTCTGCTCATCCCCACCTCTTTGACCTGACACAACCTGTCCATCTTCTTTCCACCTACCCACCCCATCCATCCCACCATGTTGTCTCTGACTCAAGCATCTACAGGTCTTGCTAACTCTAATGCCATTTTACTCGTGCCTTTTGGATTTCACAACAGGACTGTTACTTCTCAGATGAATACAATTTGTTAGCTGTTAAGGTGAAGAAAATAAGTTCTGGCCTGTCAGGAGACAGGTGAAGCAGAGCTGTATAAAGTCTCGTTAACTAACAAGAACAGAGAGGTTTCCTAACTTGTAAGGTCAAACAGACCCCATACCTTAGGAGCAATGTCACCCACTTTACTGTTAAACTTGATCTTTCTTACTTTGGTTAAAAATTGAAAGACAGCTCATTACTATACAAACAAATCAGAACAGCAATTAATCATTATTTTTATTTATTTATTTGTAACTGTGGTGGATTGCATTAATTTTATATAATGGTCTTAATAAACTAGAAATTGTGATCAAAATAGGAAATACTTAGGTTTGGCAGCATCTATGGAAATAGAATCCAAGTAAATGGGCCATATTTTCAAAGCAAGGTGCAAAACCCTGGAATAGAATAGAATAGCCTTTATTGTCCCACATACTCACTGAGCATAATGAAAAGTTTATACATTGCCAATTACAGCACTGACTTTGATACGAAAGTACCTGGCACAGCTTCTTTAGTTTCAAGATCTTAGACAATAGAGAAATAAAATGTCCAGCATTGCAGAAATAAAAGTTCCGAATAACAGATCACGCTGACACCCAGCTTCCAATCCGCATTGGGCCCTGGCTTCACACTGCGCTGGCAACATTCCACGCTGGGAGACTGGAAGGTCGCCACACCATACCTTAAGGCCCATACGGGAGGACGCCACTTCACCAGGCCAGGAGGTCACCATGCCAGGTTGGGAGGTTGTCATGCCATGCCAGGAGACCACTGTGCCAGGCCGGGAGGCAGCTGCGCAAGGCTAGGATTTGTCGCTGGAGGCCAGGAGTCAACGAGGGAGGGGAAAAAAAGGAGAAGAAGAAAAGAAAGCACTAACAGTAAGAAAAAGAAAAAGAAGAATGAGCGGAGCAGATCAGCTCTGGCTGAAGCATCCTACACTGCCACCATCATTTGTAGTGTGGTATGGATGAGTCCAATTAATATCGTTGACTGTTTCCAAGTGGTGATAGTGACTTGGGCCAGCAACAACCGTACTGGAGCCTGTCATTGCCTTGCAGGACAGAGCAGACAACTTTCCAGGAGGCACTTGAAAAGGTGCTACATCAAAGTTAATTACAGAGAATAAAAGCTTATGTGTAGGCGGTAACACATTGATATGGATAGATGAGCTGACAGGAAATTGAGAGTCACATAAGTAGGTCACTTTCTGGTTGGCAAGATATATCACTGGGATCATGTGCTGAGGCATCAAATTTTAACAATTTATATAATTGTTGGATGAAAGAACAAGATGTCTTATTGCTAAATTTTCTGATGATACGAAGACAAGTAGGAATGTAAGTTGTGTAGAAAATGTAAGGATGATTCAGAGAGGTGTAGCTAGGTTAACAGAGTGGGCCAAAATCCAGCAAATTGAGTATAATATGGGAAATGCGAAATTTTCATTTAAGGCAAATAAAAAAAGAGTATATTATCTAAATGTGGCAAGGTTTCGGAGTTCTGAGTTAAGACTCTCCGATGAGATGTATTTCTTCTTTTCAAAGTGTACATCAGGTAAAGAGCTTTCTGGTAGTTCCTCACATCAAGATGGAGCAAATTCTGTTGACAAACTGTGATGACTTTGGAGAGTTCTACTAGGTGTATTTGAGTTTACTTCATTTATGTAGTTTGTAGGCAGTTACTTTATTTCTTAGTTAAATGGTACCTATAAGGTTTTAGTAGAAGAACTGAAACTTGAAATTTTTTAACAGAGTGAATTCTTCAACTCAGGAAGGATTATTTTTGGATAATGCATCCCTTTCAGATGATTGTGTTTTAAAGTAAGATGGCATACAGTAAAAATAAGAAGTGAAGTTGGTGTGTCAGGTTGAATTTTTTTCTTGAGCTCCTTCTCATGTAGTTTTATTCTGATCCATGCAAGATTCAAATACAACTTCATATTTGAAGGAAATCTGTGAGAACCACTGCCATATTTTTGAATAGACTGTAAGGAAAATCATTATGTCAGACAGGCATTTCTCTACTTCACCTCTGGCATTTGGCCTATTACTCTGAACATTTGACTGGTTAAAACCTTGTGGACTCTTAAGTAACCAAGCAACTGATCACATCCTTTCACTGGCTCCCTTTGGACAATGTGACCTCCTCTGATTTACACCAACTGTCCAAGCTCACCAGACATTTTCATCAATTCCCCCCTCCCGACCCTACAAACCACCTCGCAACCTTCAGTGTCCCCCACCCCCCATATTCTCACCACCCCAAAACTATCTGACCTCCGTGATCCCCCAACATTGACATCTCCCTAACATGATTTTGCCACCCTACCATCCTAACACCATGCCACCCTATCTTGTGACATTAATAAACCAATGTATTTGTCAGAAAGATATTCTCCAGAATGGTTCCAGGAATGAGAAACTTCAGTTATGAGGACAACTTGAAGTTGGGACTGTTCATCTTGGTGGCTGAAAGGAGATCAGATAGAGGTTCTGATAAATAAACTCATGAGGGATGGATTGAATAGATAGAGATGTTCCCACTCA